TTGGATATGTTTTCTAGTTCAATAAAGCTTGTGTTTTACCTCCTGCCAATATTCAAATGGGAATGCTTTTATCCCAAAGCCAATACAAATTGATTTCAAAATATTGCATTGACAACTGTCGATAATCATATAAATATCAAATATTTCTTAATCTTGTTTCTTCATTAAATCCAGTATTGTAAAATCTTCTCTATCTAAACTCTTTGCAATAACTTGTAATCTGTATGAAGTACTTAGTAATAATCATGCCTACTGAACTAAATGTAACTTTTAATTTTAAATTATTATAGAATTAATTTAATAAACTGCATGTAATTCTTAAAGTGCATATAATTTTTTTTTTTTTTAAATGTATGAAATTATAGATAAAGTAAAGAGCTAGATTTTCCCTTTTTATAGTAATCACATTTTTTACACTAAAATAATTTTTTACATTGAATTAGGTTTTATTTTTATAAATTCTCAAAATGATTTCTGCTATACATCAAAGATTACAATTATTCAGTCTGTTGCTCATGTAGACCGACTGCCTTTGAACTTATTTTTGATTTATAAACTAGGACTAAAAACAGTTTTGTAAAACATTTGGTTACTAAAGATTTATTAGATTTTATTATACAAGTTATGTGTGTCCAGTTTTATTCGGCAAACAAATTTCATGCCCAATACATTTTTATTTATAAAATAATCCAAACAATATAGGCCATAAAAAACATTTTGGTTACCAACATGTTAGAATTATTTTATACTTGTTTTAATTAGTGAAAATTTCACAGTCTTCCTATTTTAAATTTCTGATAAATCTTTATTCTTCAGTTAATGATTGAATAAGCTCATGGTGAGTTCTACAATAAAATATCCATAGAAATTTTCCTATCATGTTGTTAAATATTTGGGCTTAACAATAAAATATTGCAACAACAATTATAAATATGAATGTTGGTCATAAGTAAGGAGGTACAAATGAAAAAATTTGAAATTGATGACTTTTCCATTTCACTGAAATAGACATTAAACACTTCTATCTTCCCATTTTTTTTCTAATTGAAACCAAGTAGCATCTTTGATATGTCTTTTGTCTTCTCATGTAATCAAAACAGAATTATCCATTATTTATGAGGTATTGGCAGGGTGTAACAGTCATGCGAACTGAGGGACAAGCACATTATTATCTGATGTAAATATGGCTTCCTTGACATTGTATAAGCTTCATCTGCATTTCAACATTTTGTTAACTTATTTATTGTTTCAATTTTAACACAATTTGCAGCAATTTTTATTGCTTCTCAGACATCTTTGATTAAATACTGTGCATCTCAAGTTTTCTCTTGGATTAATATCCAAAGATGCTGGGGGTCATTCTATTAAGTTGGCAGAATGTGAATAAGCATTATTGTCTTGCATGAATGTATACTTTTGCTTTTATTGTGATATGTCCAACTCAAAAAATGTCTTGTCCAAGAACTTAATTCTCTGCATTTATCTTGAACGATCATCAACTTTGAAAGGACCTATAAATTTTACTGTGTATAATACTAATTGAACACATTACTTTGACCTGCCCTCGTTATCTTGAAATCATATGGTTTGGTGAAAGACCCAACCTCTAGACCAGCCATTAGCTCTAAAAATTACTGTAGAGAAATCATATACTATTTTGCCTTACATGTTTCTCTTTTTGATGTTGACTTAAAAAAGATGGTAACTAAGTTGCTTTCATATCTTTGGCCGATGTTCTTAATCTTTGATTTCTTTTGTCTTTTTACATTTTCAACACCAGTTTTTTTTTCAAATATTTTCTTGCTAGTCAATTCACTTTTTTAACTTTTTTTAACTTGCTAATGTTTTTAAATTTTTTTTTTATTGTTCTTTGATCTCTGTTCAACTTTTCCACACTTTCCAAAGTTATATTCCTATCACTAGGTAACTTTACAATATCTTATCTCTCTTGTGAGCTTATATCTTATTACCTGTGATAATCTTTACTTGTGTGAGTAAAACTGGATGAGAATCCAATGGAAAGGTAAATTTCCTTTGAAGAAATCAAATAAAATTAACCACTTTGAATAAACAAGAATAATTGGACTGAAACTACAGACAGGAAAATATCCTCTCAAATGTAAACTATGATCAAAAATATCTAAACTAAGCATTGAACAAATAAAGGCTGTTAAAAGTTCCACTCCTTATTTTAAAACCATAAATGGGGTAGCATAGGATAACCAGATCATATCAACAACCGATCAAGTGTAAAACTTTCCACTACTGAATTAAAAACCCTCAGTTTAGGATTGAAATTTGCAGCCACAATAAATTTCATTATAAAAATCATTCAATATAACACTTTCACAATGGTTTTATACAAGGGATTATAAATACCACTTTCAAAACAACAGAAAATGAAACCACATTATCCAGAAGGTATGTAAATGCACTAAAAATACAAGAATCTATGCACCCCTTTTCACATAAGTGATTGAGTTGGGATTATGGTTGCCAGTGTTTAAACAACAAAAATGGAATCATTAGTGCTTATAAACAAAATTGAAGAGCACTAACTCAATTAGAGGGGAAAAAAATTCAGTCATTCAATAAAAACACAAAAATAAAAATGAAAACTAAACATTATGATTATCAAAATATTATCCAAAGCTATGTAGTTTCTATGATTTACCAAAAATATATGCAACCTGTTAGCTCTTGAAGGTAGTGCCAACAAATATGCAAATGCCTTAGCAAAATCTTTAACATATTTGAAACAATCAGCACTTCACAATTTAAAGACTGGCAATCCCATCAGCAAATTGAAAGACATAAATCAGCAAAATAAGCTAAGGCTTAGCGTAACTAATATTTAAAAATGTTAAAATATACTAACATCCCAGTTTACAAATGTTTAAATTTTCTAAAAAGAACTTCTTCATAAAAAAAAAACAAAGACAAGCTCTTTCTATTGAGCAATGACCATAATTTGTTAACTTTTGTACAAACTAAGATTTTTAAATATTCAATAATTTTTACAAATAAAAAGTTTAGCCTGTCTTTTTATATATTTTATATATATATATATATATATATATATATATATATATATATATATATATATAATCCAGCTCATTTCAAAATATGCACATAATTTCTGAATACTTTTGCTAAAATTAAATTACAAGATCTAAACTAAATACAATCAAACTTAGTATTTACATATAAAGAAACAAATAGCACCTGACCTTTTCATGATATTCTGTTAATCTGAACTGTTTACCGGTTTAAAATTAAATATCTACTTTATGTCAACAAATATAAACAAGCTCATAAATTTTTACTTGTGTTACAACAATAAGATAATCTGGAATAATTATAGATTTTTAAGAGTCCTTAAAATTTGCAGCCCCAAATATCTACCTAGTGAAGAGAAACACATTGAAAATACTTTCAAAATACTATGTGGCATAAGTAACCTCGTGGGGGGGGGGGCTAAAATAACTGAATTGAAATTAGTCAAAATACAATTTCTATAAAACGGGTAAATAGGTTGGTTACGTTTTTTTTTTTTTTTTTTTTTTTTTTTTTTTTTTTCCAAAACTCGTTTATGTACACACATCCACACAAGTGTATTTTTTTCTTATGTACTTGGTTGGACAAAAAGTTTGTTTATTAAATAGAAAATTTACTTAATAAACCATTTGCCCATCCTAATATATAAGCATGCTTTATTTTAAGTTCTTTTAAAAAAACTTTTTAATACACTCACAAAAAAAAAAAAAATAAACATTTTTTTTTCATTTACAGGATTAAAAAAAGTCAACTATTAGGAAAAAAAATTGCTAAGTGCGTAATAGCACAAATCAAAGAAATTTTTTGTGTATATATATATATATATGATTTAAGAAACAGCACATTTTTATATCTAGTTGTTGAGGAAATAATACAACACAAAAATGTACGTTAACAAAATGTATTGAAACAAAGAATAGGTACAAATTTACAAAGTTTGGTAAATTTTTCCTGCATAATGGGTGTATATATATATATTCATTTCTTAATTTACTATCTTCCCTGTCTTCCGGTACCAACCCATATTTATATGGTCAGTAGTCCGCTTATTTTGTATCATCTAGTGCTCAATAATAAAATAATATTAAAAATAGATTGTTAATAATAAGTCTCTTGGTAAAATTTTGAATCTTCAGGGGGTTCTGGAAACTTCGAAGTTGGGGTAAAATTGATTTTAAAAGTTAAGTAATCTTTTCGCGTAAGATACCTCCACTACTTCATGATGCCTAAGTTTTAAAAATTAAAAAAGCTTTTGTGGAGCTTTCATTTCAGCTTTAATTAAAAACTAAAGGATTAAATTTACAATTTATAGCAAGAAAATACTCTGGTGTATTTCAAACAGAAATTGCAATTTTTTTTTTTTTTTTTTTTTTTTAAATAGCTTCCAAAAATAAAATATACTTTTCTGAAACTTTATTTGAGGAATATTAGCTGATTTAAAGTATAAAATTTTTTGAAAGTTTATAAGTTATTGTAATTATAAGAAAAAAAATGAAAACAATTCTTGTAAAAATTCATTATTCATTAAAAAAAATTTTTTCTTCAGATAATAATGTCCATAATATATATTAATTATAAAAGCAATTAAAAGCTTATCTAATTAAATAATGTCAGTTTTATTGCAGTTTTTATTTTATGATTCTGAGCAGATTTTCGGGAACTGAGTAACCTTGAGGAAAAAATTTGGATGATTTACATTTAACTAATAAAAAAAATTGGAAATCTGAATTTAATTTCTCAAATATATATATATATATATATACACCTTTTGAAATGATTTTAAGCCACACTAAAACAGGTGTTGCTACTGTTGAATACTGTTACAAGTAGATTGAAAATCGGAGAAATGAGTTTTGTTTTTGTTTTTTTTCTTGTAATTTTTACCAAACTAATGTATGAAATCTGTAATTATTTATTAAATATTATTTACATTGCTCTTTCAGAAATTCTGAAATGTATGATGCAAACCAAGATAGTGGTCAAATAATACATTACCAAACAATTGAACCTACCCACATATCTAAAAGACCCCGGTTAGGGGACTATCGCCCAGACTTAGCCCAGCCTCTTAAAATAGATACATCAGGTGAAGGAGAAGTTAAAAAGGTTTGTCTCTCTTTTTTTTCTTTCTTTTTCTTATTCATATTAATAATTATTCTTTTTACTTTAATGTATATCCCTGCATGATTTTTTTTTGTATATTGATTGTAGATATGAGATGTTTCTTGTAATACATAAATAAGAGAATATTTTAATATATTTAGTTGGGGCTTACAGCTATATCATATTGAAACACTTGAAGTTCAGCAATGTTGAGCTTGGATAGTACCAAGATCGGTGACCACTAGAGAATACCATGTGGGTCATGTAATGAACAGATGTTTGGCATTACTCATGGCCTATTCTTGAATGTCCTCTCTTTAACCCATGCATAATGTTGACATAAATAAACCTATATCTTGTTGACAGATTTATCATAGGCATATCAAAATATTATTTGCTGTAATATTCATTAGGATGGAAGGGTAACTGCTTGCCTGGTCCATATCAACAACAGGCTGCTATAAAATTACATCCATGTCAGTATGATGTGTAGCTTCTTAAATACAATTTTAAAGTGCAGCATCCATAAAGGTCACAAAGGCTGGTAGAGTTTAACAGCTGTAAATGTTGCTATGATTCAAGAAAATACAAACTAACATTAGACAAATGTAGGTTTAAAATTGCTTTTATTACACAAAATTATTTAAAATATCACTCTTCTTAACAATGTTCACAATTCTTATTTTCATGCAGTAGCCATTATGTAAACTTGACTATAGGTTGACTATATATATATATATATATATATATATATATATATATATATATTTATTTGAAAGCCGTTTTTTTTTTTTTAAGTGGCTGATTTTACCTTGTATGTATTTATTTCCTCACCAGTAGCACAACCCTGTAATATAACAGACCTATTATTAGTTGTGCTATAGGTGATGAAATATATATATTTAGTTGGATTGATGTGGTCAAATGTATAGGGGCTCAGAATGAGAAACCAGAGAGTTGAGTTCAAATTCCAGTTGAGTTTGTTGCATTCACTTATATGCAAATACCCTTGGGAAAGGTACTAGTACTTGTATCTTAAAAGATCATGTTATTCTCAAAAAAAATTTAATCTAATAATAACTCACAAAATTATTTAATTATTCTTACAATCCAAAAAATGTTTCAGTTTTAAATAACCCATAAAAGGGTTGATAAGCCATAAAAACAATCAATCAATCAATCAATCATACACAAACAATTTTTTTTTTTTTTTTTTTATATAGATTCAACTGACAAGATCTGTTTGTTTTATTTTTTATTATATTTTTTCAATTTTTGAATGAGATGTTATACATTGGGATCAAAATTATGTATTAACTTTCCAAAGTTCATGTTTTGTTCTACTAATTTTCATAATGTCTGAGACAGTAAAAAAAAACTTGAATAAAACAAAAAAAATAACCTGTCCTTTGAAAAGTTTATCCACAATTTGATCTCATTGCACATCTTATTTGAAAATTGGAAATATACAGTAAAAAAAATTAAACACAGATTTTTATGGTTGAATTTAACAAAACTTGTTTGGCTGAATTCCTACTAATTAATTCTTACTATGTGTGTTTGTGTGTGAGAGAGAAAGAGTTTTGAAATCTTATTAGCTTTCAAAATTCAACTGTGTTTGTAAACATAAACTTTGTGATATTTGTTAGGAGCCAGCTTACAATCCCCAAGTTGAAGCTATATCTCCAACATTACCTACTGATGAAAGTTCTAACCGTGCTTCTAAAGAATATCTTCTCCAAGCCATCAGTCGAGTTGACCGGGAGATTCAGAAAGTGGAGCAGGATATGTTGAAATTAAAAAAGAGTCGAGTAAGTCAATTACTTTTTTTTTTTTTTTTTCTTTCAATTTATTTAAGGCAGCATTTTTGGCATTTTTCTTAAATTCAATTTGATTTCTCATTTCCAAAATATCAGAACAGACTGTTCTCATTACTATTTGTAAAAATACGCTAATACTTTTCGTGTTTATTGTACAACTGAAAATCCATTTGAAAATTCGTTCCTTGCCAACTGATCTCCAGTTAATAGTTTAATATAAAACGGAAATTGATTCAAGGGAAATAACTCGGGATAAATTTTTTTTATGCATCAATTTACAGTTATTCAGTTAACTAAAATTTTATGTTAAAAAAAAAAATCTATTGATCAATTTCATCTCGTGACTGCTGATTATTATCGGATTAAAATAAAATTGTTTTCTATTTCAGTTACAAATTGAAGAAGTAGCTGCTAAACCACCTGAAGAAAAACCAGCCTCTCCTGAATTAATAACAACAGATACAAAACATCAAAGTATTGCTCAACTCATATATTCTGACAATAGGGTAAATACCATATTATAATTCTGCTGGCTCCGTCATTAGTTAGCATGTACGTTACACCCTGTAATAGCTTGCTTTTCCCCTGCCCAAACATTCTTGGTATAGCAGCAGTGGACAGAGTAAATATTTTTCTTTTTTTGTTTTTGTTTTTTTTTTTTTAACTTCTGTTAAGCCTCATTCTGAGGGTGCATTGAAGCTCTATATGTGTTTCTAGAAAGAAACATTAACACTCTTGTGTGTTTAATGTCTGCTTCAGTGAAATGGAAAACCTGTCAATCTTTAATCTTTTCATAATCTTTCTGTACCCTCTTACTACTTTTGATAATGACTTGCATTTGTATTTGTGTTATTTTAATATTTTGTTAAAGTTGAGCTCAAATATTTAACTAGACAATAGACGATTTTCCATTGTATTTTATAGTTGTGGAACCTGCAAGGATCTTATTCAGTTATTAACTTAAGAATTAAGATTCATCTAAAAATTCAGATAGAAAATTGAAAGTTTCACTAGTATTTCTAGTTGTAACTATTGTCAGATATTTGTTCTCTTAAAGAATTTATTCAAATATTAAGGGAAAAAAATCTTAAGTCTGATTCTCATGTTTTGTTTTTTGTTTTTTTGTTCCTCCCCCTCCTATTTCTAAATTACCTCAGATGGAATTTGTAATAACTGAAAAGATATCTTTAACTGACATGAGTTAAACAACTCTTTGAAGAATGAATCTAATTCTAATCAAGAAAATTTTAAATTGCCTGATATTCTTAACCTTTTTCATGCACATTAATTTTAAAGCGAAGAAATATTCCTAAATTTTCATCTTTTTATTTCTTACAGCGGAAGGCAGATGAGGCTCATAATGCTCTTGCCAAGCTTGGACCAAAAATTGATATGGTAAGTCATAGACCAGGCACCTCCACTGAATTTTCGATAACCTAAGGTTTAAAACTTTAAAAATGAAAAAGCATTCTTGAAAATTTAATTTTAGTTTTAATTGAAAGCTAAATGATTAAATTTATTATTTCCAGTAAGTAAAATATTCTGGTGTATTTCAGATAGAAATTATATATATTGGAATGTCAAATAATTGCTCAATTTAATTTTTTTCAAAGCGACCATTTTCTTAATTTTAAAAAATTTGTATACAAACAAATTTATCAGGTTTAAAAATCTTTCAAAATTAAATTATAGATTTGTGACACATTATTTGAATAAAATTAGAAAATTTAAAGTTAAATATTACTTCTAGCATAAAAAAAAACAATATACAAGCATTTCTTAATGATGGTTCCCCTCTTTCTTTGCTCTTTATTGACTTATTGAGAAGCTATCAAGGTGATGACAGCTCTTATGGATGACCTGAAATTACATAAACTTATGAAATCTAAATGAACACTTTTTTTTTTTTTTTTTTTTTTTAACTACCTATCTTTACAAATTAACATATTTTCAGCAATTACTTTATATTATTGACTTAGGTTTCAAGAAGCTTTATGAAATTTGCATTTTGTCTCTAGGTTCTTAAGTTTACTACCTTAAACAAAAAATTAATTAATTGAAGTATGACCCAAACTAAAATAAATACATAAAATAAAAATATTTAATGAAATAGCAATTAAGAAAAGTAAAACTTTTTTTTTATATTTTGAAGGGATGATTTGCAAAGATGTTAATGATGAAACAAAACTGAATTAAAAGTGAAATAATTGCTGTGCGTCAGATGACACTTAAATCACATGACCTTTTTAAAGATTATGTCATGTATAGATTCCTATAGGTAGAAATTAGGAAAGTTTTTTCACTAAAAATTATTTTTAAATTTTTCAAAAAAATATTTGAGTACAAATGATTGTTATGAGCTTTTCAAATTTTGTTTTAGAAATGTACATTTCGCTTAATGATATCACCAAACCACCATCTTGAAAGTAATGAAGAATTTTAAACGATTTTTGAACTATTATATTATAATTATAATTAAAAAAAAAATTCTTGTAAAAAAATTCATTATTCATCAAAAAAATTTTATTTTTTCAGACAATAATATCCTTAATATAATTTATTTACAAAAGCAATTAAAAGCTTTTCTAATTAAGTAATGTCATAGTTTTATTGCATTTTTTATTTTACAATTAAGAACAGATTTTCGATTTTTACAAAAAAGAAATTGATGAATTACTTTCTCGAAAGAGTCCTGTTTTTAACTAATAAAAATACCCCCCCCATTTAATTTCTTGAAATTTTATGAAATTAAGTAAGTGGGTGGTAACATATTTAAAAAAAGAAAGGAAAAAAAAAACTGAAAAAAAAAATTTCAAAAATAATTTCATTCATTTCTGAATATATCCTGAAAATTTCATTAAAATCCGACAATTATTTGGATTTTGCAAGAATTTCCAAATCTGTGTTTTTCACCAGAAAAAAATGCAAAAGAAACCCTAACCTTTATCTTTGGTCCACCGTTGACGTAAAGAAAACAAGATTTTTAACCAAAATTCACAATATGCTACAAAAGAGTAAAAAAAATTTAAAAATAATAGAAAAACACTTTGATCTTTTCTCTTAATAATAACATAAACATTTTGATGACAAAACTTTGTTTTTATTGAGTTTGTGGCCTTTTTTTCATCATGCTATGCTGTTTTTTACACAACCAAGTAGAGGTACCTACTTCTGCTCTCTCTCTCTCTCTCTACTGATCTTGAAGTGAATTTTAACAAAACAATATGTGTAATTGTTATCTCATCCTCATTGTAATAAATCATTTATGATAATGATTAGTATAATTTCTTTGAATTATATGATGACTATCTAAAATTTCTCATCACCTGTGCCATATGTTTTTAATAATGTTTATTTAATGCATGATAATTATCTATATTGGTGGGGTGCATGTAGGTTATTATTGTTATTGTCACAGAAAGTGAAATTAGTGAGCTGGGTTCAAATTCCAGCCCAATCTGTTGAGTTCACTTTCGCACTAATGTCCTTGGGAAAGGCATTGATCTATATCTTCTCCTCCACCAACTATGGGTTAATAAATAGCTGAGTAGACTGAGCTTTCTATCTTGGGGTGATAACCTGTCTAGTAGGACAATTATGAATTTAAAACAATGGAGAAAGCAAGAGAAAACCACTTCATTACTCTTCTCTGGAAGTCATGGCTCTTCACAGATAATAAAGTCTTGTGACCAAGTAATGTTTAAGAAATAACAAAACGAGAGGCTGCAGATAAATAGTGTATTGAACAGTAAATACAACAACAGAAGTGTGTTACACGACTTGAGAGTGTGTGTCGGTTGACCAGCGTTCAGTCTATATCACTGTTCCCCCGAGGCTTTACTTTCCTACTACTTTATAGTAAGTGGAAGAGTCCACAATAACCTTATTAGAGGGAAGACACCACAACATAAAGAAAAGGGATCTGTGGAGAGCCATGATTGCCTACATTCTGAAGGGACACAGGCAATAATTTTTATTTTTTTAAAAATTGTTTATCACTATTAAAAGATTTCAATTTTACATTTTTTCCAAGATGCTAAATATCAAGTAACAAAAGATTAAACAAAATTCCAATCACACAATTATATGCAATAAAATTTCTATATCTACAGACAGAAATAGACAATTTTTGTATTGCTGCTTTTTTTTTTGTATCCTGCAAGTTTTTTTTAGTATTTAATATTATCTATTTTCAGCCTTTGTATAATCAGCCATCAGATACAACTATGTATCATGGGAACAAACTAAAGTAAGTTGCCCTTTGAATTTAAAATATTTATCAGATTCTTTTGTCTTATAAATTAATGTCACTTTTCTATTTATCAGTATAATTTTGAAATAAGTGTACCTTGCTCTTATCTCTCTAAAGACTATTTTAATATGAAATTTTTGACTATTCAGGGATATTTCATAGCAAAGGAACACCATTAAGTCACTTTGTTTGGACACTTTTGTCAAGATGATAATTCATAATTGTTTAATGATTTCTTGCTTTTCATGTAACTTGAAATATTAAGCTACTAAATATTACAAATGCTATTACTCCTGTCCATGTACAAATTCTAATAGTTCTTATATAATGAATTTAATTGAAATGTATTAACTTTTACCATTTATTTTTAAGTTAAACTTTTTCTTTCTTTATTTTCTCCTTGATCAAAGTTACTAATTTCTTTCTTAATATTGGATTAATTTTAGAATTTTAAATTTTACAGGTATCAGATGTTCAAGAAACGGTTAATAGTCCACTTCAAAATGCGCTTTAAAGAACGAAAGCTTCGGGTAAGTTCTATATCTCATTTAAATCGGTTAAAACTAAAAATTCTGTAAAAAATTTCAAAATGAATGAAATATTTGAAATATTCAAAATTTGTTAATTTTAACTGGGGCTTAGCATGTATAAAACTTAGATCATTTCATACAATTATTTCATCATGTCATTTTTTAAATTCCTTTTAATCAAACTTGAAATGATGACTTATGATTGTAAATATCTGAAGAAGGTGCTGAAAAGTTCTTAGCCCCACTCACTTCCTAAATTTAACATAAGAGCTTTTCATTACCCCTCATAATAGCCCTGCAATGCATTAAGTAGAATTCTCATGTTGGTTTTTATTAGACAATATTTCAAGAGTTTAAATCTTTCTATTCTTTTGATGTTTACATATTTTCTTTTTAAATATTGATCTCATATTTTCAAAGCTTTAGGGAGCTAAACCTGTTAAGATGATAATTTTGTCCAAATTTCTGAGATTCATATTTGGACTATTGTCCTCATCTTTGTTGCTGTTATCACATTATGCTCTTAAGCCTAGTGGGTAAAAGCATTGTTTTGTGAATTTGATGACATAGTGTTTGTGAGTTCAATCCCTGGTTTGGGAAGTGTGTATTTGTGCTCAGTGGAAACAAGCAAGCAATAACTGAACAGTTTTAAATAAAATAAGAATTAGACAATATGGATATGCAAGGTGTAATGAGCACAGTCAACCCCTGTAGATTGATTAAAGGGTTCAATTATGAATTCCCTGTAGGTTACCCAGATCAATATACACCTGAAGAAAACCGGAGGGTACAATGGCCAAAACATTGTGATAACAACAACAAAGATGGGGACAATAGTCCGAATATAAGTAGTGTAAATGTTAAGATAATGTTGAATAGTACATAAGAGAAACTTATCTTTTCATGCCATAGTTTCATAATGCATGGGTCCATGCTTTAGATTTACATCAATTTAGATAGGAAGATATTTTTTTTTAACTATAATTTACTTTAACACAAGAATAGATGAACTAATTACTGCAAATATGTAGTCTCTAAGAGCAGTGGGGTGTAACAAATCCATGTAAAGATGAAATAATATTGTTGTCTTTAAAACAAGGATAGCAATTCAAACACTTGTACCAATGAAAATGTTTAGAGTAGTAATAATAATAATAATAATGATGGTGTGTATATATATATATATATATATATATATATATATATATATATATATATATAATAATAATAATTCTGTTTGTCCTTCTCTTCATTAGTTAGTTAATTGGTTAGTTTGTGCAATTGTTATGCACTTTTTATTTGTACATGCTTACTTATAAATAAATTTAATAATAAAATGATTTCAAGACCTGTTTTTGACTAGTTATAGTAATAATATTATCAAATATAAAGAATCTGCAATGTCATTAGTCCTGACCTGATATCTCAGCTTCAGCTATTTTCCCACCACCAAAACATAGCTTCCCAATGCCTTTTCTATAAATATTTTCATGGTTATTATGATGAGCTTTCCTCTTGGGTACCTCCACTTTACAAATTTAAGCATAGTACTAGATTGGCAGCTAGATCTCATCATTTTACAGTTGAAATGGCTAGATGTAACTGTAAGTTCTATGCTAACAGTTTCTTCTCTCATTTATGGAACTTTCTTCTGGCTTTTTGATTTCCAGTTAATTTTGAGCTTCAAAAATTTAAATGCAATGTCAATCATTATCTTCTGCTTTCTTAATTCTTGTTCTTTTTATTATTCTCTCTACTAATTGTTTTCTTTTTCTCATATTCTCTGACATTCAGTAATCCCTTGCATCTTAGTGGCTTTATTGCCTTGCTTAGAGTAGAATGATTAAAAAATACAAAATAATGTTGGATAAAAAAAAATCCCTTAAAAAATTACTGTTTACATTTTTTTAATACAAAACTGAAGCTAGCAGATATAGATTTGTAGAAGTCCCAAAATTCAAACCTTGCTCTGTCAGGCTGGCTCCGTGGCTGAACTGATAGACACACTTTAACTATATATATATATATATATATATATATATATATATATATATATATATATATAAAAAAAAAAATTGGAAACGTTTATAAATTTAACATTTTGCTTTTATTTAAGCTTCAGCAGAAATTAAATATGGAAGAGAAAAGAAAATTCTGCTATTTGCTACTTTTGTGGTGGTTGTTTTTCATCGAGTTAAAGAATTTAGGTTACACCAGTTGTAGTTGTAAATAGGAGTTGACATGCCGTTAAATCCAACATCCATCCATCCAGTTGTAGTTGTGATCTTAGATTCTTTAAGTATGTATTTTATAAAAGTTGGTGTTATAATAAAGTGTATTTAGCATGTGTTTATCGATGGGAAAATATTTATGAGGATTTCTTCTAACTATTTTCTACATAATAAATTGTTCTTTTCTTATTAGGGTGGCCTTTATTAAATCAAAGTTATTGTCTGTTTTATTTCTGTGTGTTATGAGTGAGTTCAAAGGATTGTCCCAATGTAAGTCACTCTTATCATATCTGTTAGCATTTATATTTCAGTGGTTTCATTCCAACACAAAACATCCCCCAATCAACATGCAAACACTACCAGACAGAAATAGAATGCGTACTAGACAAGCACAAATTATCAGCCAAATCCTACATATGCTAACAAACGCATGAAAATTATGCACACAAACACAACCAGACAAGACAAATACATGTGTTCTACAAGACCAATGAGAAACAAACAATACAAGAATTTTAAAAAAATATCAGAATTTTCTTTTCTTTTATATTTCATTTTTTGATGAAGCTTAAATAAAAGTGAAACGTTAAATTTATAAACATTTACTATTTGTTCCTTATCCTATCATTCCGTCAAACTCTAATCCATATTTGATCCCAATTTATGTGTGTGTGCTTATAAAATACACACATGTATGCCCCAATTATAGATCCAGAAAGGCAGATCCAATAATTAATGGAATTTTAAAAAAATTCTAAAAAGATAAGTGAGATGCTAATGAGAAATTTTTCGCAGTTTATAATAGTCCATATAAGAATATATGCAACACAGAACTAGTGACTAACAGTGACCTAGCAAAATGATTTGATGTTGTTTTTTTTTTTTTTTTTTTGTTAGATCCAAATTGATCTTAATTTTGATTTTTGTTCATTGAATATAATGTTGAGCCATGAAAGAAGGTTTTAAAATTGAAGTGATTGAAATAATGATAGTATTTTTGTTTTTTATATATATATATATCTATCCAGACCAATACTGATCCTTAGTATTTGATTATCATGGCTAATGTCTTTTTATATGGATAAAATATTGGTTTTTCTTTGCTCTCTAGGAACGCTATTTAACAGAACGCTATGACCAGTTGATGCAGGCCTGGCTCAAGAAGATTGAACGTCTGGAGAATAATGCAAAGCGAAAGTGAATATTCCCATCAGCTTAAATGCTGTTTTATTTCTATCTCCAATTTACTCTTTTCTAAAGTTTTTTTTAATTTTGTTTATTTTATTTTTTCTTGCATTTGAAATTCTTTAATGTTAACAATTTTTGCATATTTAAATTGTTTTGGCTTAAATATGATAGGCACAAAAAAATTTATGTTTTCTAAAATAATTCAACTAAAATTTTGAATTGTAGGGAAAATTTATTTAGACTGAATAATTTGATTCTTTGTCAAGCCTAAAAGAAAATGTTATATCATTTGTAGATATATTTTAAAAAGAAATTCTGTTATGTAGTTTATTTAGGTGCTTTTAACTGATTTGGTATCATACTTTGGGAATTTACTATAAACAGTGTAAAGTTTGAATGTGATTTTATTTGAAACAATCTATTATTGAATTTTTAAGCCTGGTTTTTAGGAATAATTCTATTTTATTGACATCTATAGTAATAATTTTTTTACTTTTATATGTATATATTGATCTTCAAGGAAATCAATAATTTTTGCCACAAAAGACTGCATGTAACTAATCACTTATTTATAGTATTTTTGTTTTATATATTCTTTACTAAAAATTAATGTCACCTATTTTGTAATGTCAAAATGACTTTAAAGAGAAAATATTTGTCTTATTTTGGAAAATGTTATATTTGACTTCTGTATGTAGATGATCATGTATGTAAATGATCATAAAGAATCTGATTTTCCTCTCTTCCCCCCTGTGCTTACAGAGCAAGAGATAGCAGAATGCGGGAGTTCTATGAGAAGGTATTTCCAGAAATTAAAAAGGCACGTGAAGACAAAGAAAGGTTTGCCAGGTAATTTTTGTCACAATGTCCAACACTCCATCTCAACACCTCCAAAGATCTTTTCCTCTCCTCCATTCCAGCCTCTTTTAAAAACAAAAAAATAAAAAACTTCAATTTTAAATATTTTTCAGTCTGGCTGAAAGACATCAATTTTCTCTTATAATTTTCTCTCCTTCTAACAAGAAATGCTAAAAAAAAAAAAAAAAATTAAAAGCATTATTAAACCTTTTATTTTTTTCCACTTAAAAACCATCTACCTCAGAGCAACATCAAATTGATCTGTTGAATACAATGTAAAAAAAAAATGTCTTACTCAAGATCAAAATAACCATTTCATTTTATGTTTATTCACAATTTAACTTTAGATATTCTACTGATGATAGATTTAATCGTATTTATCATGTGCCAGCCAATTAAATTAAATTTGATCACTATTGTAAATGCTTAGAAAATGATTGCTTCTTGCTTTGTTTTCAGAAGTTATTTAAGTGTTTATATTTTCAAATGTCATCTTTTTGTTTTTTTTGTATATTGATTCTTTTTTCAATAACTTTCTTCTATAAAAATATTGGTAATAAATCACATGGTCTTACATACAGATTCATAAAAGTATAGTCTTCATATTTAAATTTAATTTTAATTTTTCTAATGTGATAGTTTTAAGCATTCTACTCATTTCACAATGTTTAAAAATTTATTCTGAATATATCTTATTCTTGAACACATAATTTGAAATAGCAGAATTTGCTTGCCTTCATAATTCTGTTAATTGAGTATAGAGTTACTAACTCCAGGTAAATTTTTGTACACTTCTATTAAAGGTTGTAGTTTTGATTCTGACAATGCTTCATTATGTTTTTATACACACATCTTGCCTTCTCTTGACTTAAAAAATTTACAACTTTAATTTAACTATTTTATGAAACATTGTTCAGAAGAGAAATTAATAAAAATTAGCAATTTTTATTTTGTGCTGATTTATTTCTCTCCCCCCCCTCCACCTAGTTTTGTAACATTTTTACAGCCAGTCCTTCAAGCTGAAAATATTTAAAAAAAATTTTTTTTTTCTCTAAGTCTTAATGAATCTGTTCAAATTATGCAGTAATTTTGACAAAAGCATGTCATTGATTAAAATAGGTGTCAGAAGACCCATTTTCTCTACACTTTATAATTATTTTTTAAAACTACAGATGTTTAACTGACTGTTTCCAACAAGCTTCATTTTGTAAAGAATAGCAGGACTAGAGAATGGGTCAAGATAAAAATTAAGGTTGTGTTATTTGGAAATTATGAGAGGGTGCTGAAAAGTTCTCAGCCCAACCAAGAAGGTACTCCCAACACTTCTGATGCTTAGGAATTGGCTCAGATCAAGAACTTTTCAATGCCTTTCATATATATATATATATATATATATATATATAAAATATATCACAACATCTAATCATTGGGTCTTGATAAGTTGCTAGGAAAAAATATCTTAAAATAAAAAAAAAATTAAAATTAAATTTGGGTGATTATAGTTTCATTTTTCAATCTGGTTGCTTTCCACAAATTTGCATATTAAAAAAATAAGAATTATTGAATATTAGTTTAATATGATTATTAACCTTTATCACTCTGTTACTTCATTTGCTGTACAAAAAGTTTATCCTGCCACTGAAGGTGACTCTGATCCCTGAATTTAAATTTCATAGTTGTGTTGTCATATCCTGCTGTGGTAACAGAAAACAACTTTGAGTTAAATTAACAATAAGATTGCTGCAACTGAGAGGCTTTGGAAAAGAATGCAGTAGAAAGGGAAGTAATATAGGGTGACCCAAAAAAACGGGAATTTTTGAAGTGTGGATTGCCAGACATGAGCAAGTGGCAACACTGCGAGACAGTGACCTTGAGCAAGTAAACATTTCACCATTTAGAATTCAAGATGAAATTCACAGTATCCCAGCTGAGATGTTGCAGCAGTCAATGAGGAATCTCAACAGCAGATTTCAAGAATGCATTCATACAAGAGGATGCCATCTACAGGACGTAATTTTTAAAAAATGAAAATTCCATCATTGTTTCTTAAATGGCATGTTTTAAGGTTTCAATTACTATGAATAAAATATTTTTCTTCCATCACTCTTGGTTTTATTGGATTGTTAAAAAGTTCCCGTTTTTTGGGGTCACCCTGTATTAATAATGCAGAGTGCAAAAGGTTTAACAAAAATCCTTTATACCTTGAAAATCATAGTGTTAACAAAAATAAATCAAGAGCTATTTTCTGTAATCCTTTCACAGAACATTTTGAATTAATTTGCTGATTTTCTTTTGTTATTCAAGAACAGGCAAAAATGTATTTCTTATACTCCAGAATTGCTATGAAATATGATCAGGAAGATACTCATAACATTAGCATTTATTTGAGACTTAACTAACTCTTCAAGAGGAATTTTACAAGAGGAATTTTACAAGAGAAATTTGGTTGTCTTTTAAGCTAGTATTGAATTTTAATATGTGATATGTTCTAACATATTTTTGCTCTCTTTGTTGTATGACTAAACATTTAGTCATTACATCTCACCAGGTGAATTTTTGGGGCAGGACACTGAACAATAGTAAAGGTCCAATTCAATACATAGAAGAATTTTTCTTTTTCTTTTTTTTTTTTTTTATTTTTTCTTTTTTTTTTTTTTTTTTATAATCTCCATTGTTTAAGAAAGGGCATAATTTGCCATTCACTGATCTTTCTTTTTTAATGATTTGCAGTTTCTTTGTTTTAATGAAATGCATCTATTCTGTTCTGCATATTTAATTATTGTTTTATCAAATTAAATCAGAGAGAATGAAGTTTGCTTTATGAAAAATTAATTGGGGAAATTTGAAATGGAAATTTAGATTAGAAGCTATAGGTTTTGTAAAACATTTTTGTCGACAGCCAAAGTAGATTTTAAAGATACTGAATTTTTGAATGCTTTCAATGGGCCGCATTGGTGTGTTGAAAAGTTCACAGCCAGGTCACTTTCCAAAATCTGACCAAAACTCAGAATCTTTCTTGGTTGGGGCAAGGACTTTTTAGCACCTCTTTGTAGTTTTGCCTCAGGTTTTGGGGACCTGTTTAGACACCAGCTCCACAATACAAATTAAAACAGTTTTACTGCATATGGTCATGTGCAATCTTGACAGACAGTATCCCATTCTGATCGTTTAATTTTAGGTGTTGAAAGAGTATTTCAAAAAGTTATACAAATAATGATAAGTCACTAGGATTTAATCAAGTAGTTCATTTTGTCTCGAAAATCAAATGAAAAATTTTACATGGAACATTCAAAGATCCTGTGTAATGTACAACTTATTTTTGTAATTGTTTTTCTGAAATCTAAAGAAAAGGCAAGGTATAAAATACACGCATTTCCTCAGTGTTTTTATTAATAATTGTGATTATTTTCGTGATAAATTCTATTGAAATTGCTACCTTTGTACAGTCTTATTATAGGCTGTAGTTTGTATTATTCTTTATTACGTTTGTTTATTTGTCTATATTGTTTTATGTTTAAAACAATTGTTTCTAATTTGGAAATTTAATCTGAATTTCTGGGATGAGGAGGTAATCATTATTTACATGTGGACTATTGAATGTGGCTTGAATAACACTGGGGAGAAGTTACTTTTCTTGCTTGTGGAGCTCTTCTGGTTCCTTGCTTCCTTGCCACTTACAATCTTCAAAAATTTAAATGCAACACCAATTGCCATCTTCAGTCTTTCTGAATCCTGTTCTTGTCTTTTCTCCTCAATAAAGTCTTCTCATTCTCTTTTACTCCCAGTAACCTCCTTATGTCCTAGTGGCATTATCACCTTGTGGTGAAATTATTTAAAAAAACAAAACAAAAAAAAACAAAGCAAAGCTGAATTGTGTGTACTCCATTCCTTGAAGTTGTGGCAAAGAATATAAAGGTGAATCTTGCACACCCTAAAAGTAAGTCAAAATGAACATCAAAAAACCATAATGAGGGAAGGAGCAATGAAATTAGTCATAGCTGATCATGTATGGAGGGAAAATGGTGTTGAATGAAGTGAAAATACTGAACAAGGAAGAGCACTGCAGTGTTGTAAGAAAGAGTTAGCATATATGCTATTCTATGACCTTAGTAGGCCTAGCATAAGAATAAATATGATATGGGAGCCATAAATAAAGACAGACAAATGACAGCAGCTTTTCAAAAGCAGCAGCTGTTATAAGAGAAATGCTTCAGTGAGTACTGTCAAGTAACAGGACTCATCAGCAGGCAGGTTAGGTTGAAGGGTCCAAGTTCTCCACAGAGAATTGTCTCAATCAACATTAGTCTAATGGATTATAGCAGTCAATTTAGTGACATAGTAACTGTGAGTTTAATCTCTAGGCCAAGCAGTGCACACTTGTAAATTTAAGTTTTAAAAAAAAAAAAAAAAACTGGTTTGAAATTCCCTGTAGGTTACCCAGATTGATATACACCTGATGAAAAGCACAATGACCAAAGCATGATGATGATTAAGTTGGCGACAATAGTCCGCATGTAAATAATTAGAATTTTTAATTTACATTTTATGAAATGTTGATTTTTATTTTTTTTTATTTTTTCAAAGTTGTAAATTTTTTGTTAAATGTTTTAAACTTTAAAAATAAAAGTCTCTCTTCATTTTGGCATATTTTAAACTAAAATATTTCCTTTATGTCTCTTAAAGGTACAACCTACCAAGTCTTTATATTTTAAAATATTTTGGTGGATTAGTATGTCTCTTAAATTTAAGATGAGGTTTTACAAACCTAAATAACATATCAATGCTGGATTTGTTTTCATTTTGTAACGATGATAATCATTTGCTTTAATAATTAACTTTAAGTATATAATTCCTTTAAATTTTGTAACATCAAAGCTTTTCTTCTGGAATAGGATTTGTTATGTTCAAGTAATTACTGAGTTTTTAAAGAGAATTAATAATTGCTTCTGTCATGCTCTGCTGATGGTCATTGATACATGATACATGATTTCTCTTGGCAGATTTACCCACAGGGTTAGGCTTCTTGATCAATAAGGAAATTAAACTTTCCATCCTTTCCCTTACTTTCTTTCTCTCTCTACATTTATATGAACTTCTTTGATAAGAATTTCTCTCAGAAAGGTCTCTTCACAACTCTTCTGCAAATGCATCGTACAGTAAATATTCTCTGAATCCACTGATGATCTCATGAAAATCCAGTGCATTAGATTTGGCTTCTGTGATGTTATTTTAATAACTATGCTTGCTCATGAGTGCTATATTTTCAGGTTGAATTTTATGGTTTTGTTTTTTTTATTGCAGAATCTGGGTTCAAACTATGCATCTTCATAAAACACACCTATATATAGGGAACTAGTATTTTCATGTTTACTTCCTATAAACAATTGATAAAACAGTTTGCTATCAATTTCCTACAGATTTGGTTTAATGACTAATGGAGATCATCTGAAAAAGACATCCAGCAGGCGTAATAAAAGCTACATCTGTAGAACTGAACAGATGACATTATCCTGCCATCAGGTGTCTCAATCTTGTCTAATGGATACAGAGAGAGGGAACAGGTACTCAATATCTGGCCAATAAACAAAAACAATAATTAAGGCAGGACACTATCGAATCAGAAGAAAAAAAAAAATCCCCAAAACCAAACATGCTTTTGCAAGATGTGGAAGACCTTTCATTTGTACAGCTGTTGAAATTTTTCAAGTATCATTGATAACCTGGTTACCCAGTAAACTTTGTCAAACAAATATCAATATCTAATGGTAAAAAAAAAAAAAAAACCTAATTGGAGGTGACCTTGTTCTTATTCTTGTGTGTGTGTGTGTGTGTGTGTGTGTGTGTATATATATATATATATATATATATATATATATATATACACACACACACACAGGATATTCAAGTTTGAAAGAAACTATTTTGTGTTTTGGAGGAAAAAAATTATGATTTTTCAAATAGTTAAACAATTTGACAACATGTTTCTCCTTGAAGGAAGGAATATTCATTCTGTTTAAACTTTCTGTTTGACTAAATGTTTGCTTTAAATATTTCCTTAAATAACTTAGTTATGTTTAAAGAAATAACATTACAATTGCTGTATCCAATAATCTTCAAGGACTCTTAAATGGAATTTTTTAATTAACTCAAAATGTCTTCCTTCTGATTTGCCTAACTCTAATTTGGACACTTCATGGTGAAGTGATGTGACAGATTCTGCACTTGTCATTTTTCTGTGACTCACAGAATCCCAATGGCATGTAATGAAAACAGCAACATGTATGCTTGGCTGTTCATACAGTGTGCAGCAGAAATACCTCTTACATGATGGTAAGACATTAGCTAGATGAAGACTCATTGTAACTAATGTCTTACCATTATGTGGGAGGTATTTCTGCCTCACACTATAATCTTTTTGAGTCTATTATATGCTGCATATCTGAAAATTTTTCAAAACAACAATGAGGATACTAGTTTTAGAAATACAATCTTTTGTATCAGTCTCAGAAAAAATAAATTTGTATTTTTTAATTGCCTGTTCTAATAGAATACAATCTGTGTATTGTCTTGGATATTCAACCTCAAGTGGTTTAGCATAAACTCCTTGATTTCTCCACACCCCCCATCTTTTTTTTCTTTTTTTAAAAAGAAACTTCAGATATCTTTGGAAAAAATTAATTGTATAGACTTGTTGTGGCTTCATCACATCATTTAATTCTGTAAGAAAATTAAGAATTACCACTTGAAATTGTGTTTCCTATTAATAAAACCTTGCAGCTATTGTAGTGTCTGTTTTTTTGTATGGAATAAATAAGTTGTTAAATAGGTTGGATACAATTTTACTTTAACTCTCCATTTAAGATTTATCTCTGAAATATTATATTTCATTAGTTGCAATTCTATTTTAAGAACTCTCTAAAATATTTCAAGTCTCTCCACATACTCTAATTAAATGTTCATTTTATTTACTTTTATTAAAAATTTGTATGATACTTGCTTGCAAATGATTTTTGATACTCCTTCCTTTCTTGGTTAAATCATTTAATTCTGTCAAATATGTAACTTACAATTATTATTTCATAAAGGCATGGAAATTCCAGAACTTGACAGTGTCCTGCCCTAATCATGTTTTTTTTTTTTTTTTTTTTTTTTTTAAAGAAGAAAAAAAAAGACAAAAATATTTATATAGGATTTGCTCTATGTTCATTTCTTTCTCCCTTTTATCTATATTTTCTTTCACTGCAATTAGGATTGTTATCATTTTTTTTTTTTTATCAGTTTTTTTTATCAGTTTTTTTTTTTTTTTTTCATTAATTTATTTTTTTAAGTCTATTTGGTTTTCTTTTTCATTTCAATCTCTGGTATTTTATATTTTTTTTTATTATTTCTATTTATTTAAAAAAAAAAAAAATTCTTTAAATGTCGGTTTCTCCTTTGTTGCATGCCGCACGCAGCATGAAATAATTTTTTGAAGAGTGAGGAGCATGCAATTCACTGGATATTAAAAAAAAAAAAAAAATCTATTATTGTCCTCTTTTTATTGGATGGACACTGACTTAACTGTTTTACCTACTTTTCACCATTATTTTGATCTGTATATACATCTATCAGTATCATTTACAGAACTTAGTAATAACACTTTGAAGTCTATAGTCATATTTTTCATTATATTTAGAGATTGTTGTGTATTAATGTTTTATAAGATGTCATTTTATGTTACTTTTTGTTTCATTAAAATTGGCCATTGCTTAAATATTTTAACACAGCGGTTCTGAAAATAATTGTTAGTCTTAAAAAATTTTAAAGAATTCTTAAAATTGTTAGTTTCATTTGTTACTTGTTTTATTTAAGCAAAACTTCTATTGAATTTTTAGAACCTTGTGGAAAATTACATGCTCTATAAAATGAAATCAGTCTTTAACAAGTCTGTAGATCTCTAAGCACAAATGAATTGGTTTTCACTAAACAAACAATTGCATTAAGTTATCGCTCAAGGATAATTGCATTATAAGACAAAGAACAAATAGGAAACATTTTTCAATCTAACATGTTTCACTTTTATTAAAGCTTCATCAGAGAATGAATATAATAAAATTTTAATAAAAGTGAAACATGTTAGATTGATAATCATTTAACATTCATTCTTTATCTTATTCTGTCGGATTCTGATCCATATTTGATCCCAACTCATAAAATGTGTGCGTGCGTGTGTGTGTGTGTGTTTTGGGCAGCAATCCCTCTTTTTTATTTAATTTTATCTCTTATAATTAGAATATTATATGAACACATGAAAATTAAATTAAAAAAAAAAATTAACTGCAGTACATTGTCAGTCGATTTTAATGAAACTACAGTACAGGCCAAAAGTTTTGGGCCACCCTGCATTTCTTAAAACAAAAAAAAAAACACCTTAAATGAGAGATTTTTATATTCTTCTAAATTATGAGATAGAATTTCAGTAACTACAATGTATTTGCTTTTATTTTGACAAAAAAAATAAGCACTTAAAAGTAAAATATTATCATACAACAGCATCATATTTTGTTTTCATCAATAAAGCCACCATGAAGACTAATCCAAATTTGAACTTTTTAGTAGTAAGAGAAGCCTGGAAAGAGACTGAAAAATAAAAAGTATAATGTAGATAGTCACATTTTATCTTTTACTTAAAAAATACAAAAATATCTCATTTTAAGGTCTCTGTGTGTGTGTGTGTGTGTTTTTTTTTTTTTTTTTTTTTTTTTTTTTTTTTTTTTTTTAAGAAATACAGGGTGGTCCCAAACTTTTGGCCTGTAGTAAGTATAACAAAGCATGAAAAGTATTCTGCTTAGGGAAAAGAAATTGATTTCATTATTGAAATAACTAAATATGTGTTGAATATTTTTTATTTTTGTTTTGAAATTTGTGATAAGGTAACTTTTAAAAGATGAAGATTTTCTTTTAGCCATAATAGTTGATTTCTGCATCCTTGGAGTGCAGCTGTTAATGTAGACATGATAACTTTTGATTTTTGTCTTTTTATGCCATTCTTTTCTGGCAAATGACTCAACACTGTCTTTCTCTTATTCACATACAGATGGAGAATTCTCTTTGACTTTTCTTGGTTTCAAAAGCCTCTACCAAAATTGCTCTAACTTTTCATTTATACAGCTATTCAAAATTGTGCCAACCAAAGATTTTTCCTTTCTTATTCATTACGTTCACATATTTCCCTTTAAATAGACACACATATACACACAATTATTCTCTTATTTCATTCACTTCAAATTTCAATAACTGAACTTTGACTTTTCCTTTGTTCTAAATAATTGCCTGTATATAGGTGTGTCCTCTGAAGTTGTGCAATGAGACCCAGCTTGTGTTTTTATCATAAATGTTAACTTTAAACTGTATCATTTCAGCATAGAGGATATGACAGTCCTCCTGTTTTCTACCTCTTAGACCTTTTTTTCCCTTAATTTTTTCCTGACTTTTTGTTTATCGAATGTTGTGTGTTTAAACCTGTTCCTACTATTGCAATATTTGATGTGCAAACTTAAATTGATTTGCCTTCCATTCTAGCTCCCTCTCTCTCTCTCTCTCTCTCTTTAACCACAATTGACTTTCATCACCATCCAACCTTGTACTGTGCAGCTTCTCTCTGGAACACTGAGTATTGTGTCTCTATTGTCAGTCATATTTACAGTCATAGACTAGCCACACTCATGTTGGACAATGCACTGGTTGTTATAAAATGCTATACATTTCTAATGCTCCAATTTTATTTTTTTGCCTCTAAACTGTTGCAATGGAAGCTCAGGCCTGAGAGTGCATACAATTAAATATGTAGAATAAAATGTCACATTTTGTTCATGTGTGTATTATTTTAAAATTGTTTGTGTGTAAGCACTTGAGTGTGTGTATGTATGTAGTATATTTTTTTATGTTTACTTTTCTCTATTTTCAAACATTTTGTACAAAATCTATTTTAATAATTATCTTCTGTTGATATTTTTCCTAAATATGCATGAAATTTCTTTTTTAATAATGTATTTATTTATCACATAAATGTTTTAAAGATGATTTTGGTTTTATCTAAATTTTAAATTAGATAATTCAAAAATATTTTTTCAAATAGGGACAAGTAAATCTTAACTATTCTTAACCAGAATTTTCTTAATTGAGATTAAAAATTGTAAGCTATTATTTTAGCGTGGATGGAGCTTCTCTTGTTTTATATTTTCATCTTTTTGTTAGTTTTTAAGAATGAATATAGATAGATTTTAAGGTAAATAACTGCTTTCCCCTGAATGAATGTTATTTTATTTATATCTTAACATCACTTGTATTATTTCATGTTAATTTAAAAACTGTTGGCTTATTTTTTTCCTGATTGGAAAGAATATAAAAGTTGTATGTTTATAAAGTTTTGAAATGCATGCACTATATTCTACAGCTCTTGAGTCATTGAATGTTATTTGTCTACAATTGTTTTTGATGAGCAAGTTTAAAATATAAACTTTGATTTTTATTTTTTATTTATTCAGATGATTGCATACTTGGATGCAATCATTTTCTCTTTTTTTTTTTTTTTTTTTTTTTTTTTTTTTTTTGAATCTGATGGGTTTTGCATAATGTCTGGTGTTTTCACATTTTGCAAATATACCCTAGGTTGCTGTGCAGTTCAAGTAAGAACTTTTTATTATTTAGGTTTATCTAGGAAATATTGTTCTTATTAAAATGTCTATAATTTGTGTAGGGGTGGGGACTATATTTCCCTTTTTCTTTTTTTTTTTTGTCTCTCTAATAAATGTCTATATAAATTATCTGTTACTTTTTAAACATTTTTATTCTTATCGAATATGATATGTACAAGTTTAGAAATTGTAAAAATAAATATTTAAATGTAAGAATTACAAATTATGACAAGATAAGTTTTGAATCATTTAATTGAAATCTCTTTAATTTTGTGAAATTTTTCTCATATATATTCTATTTTGTATATTTAATCCTGTTATTGTCCTACAAGTTATATTTTGTATTTTACCAAATCCTATTTAAGTTTTTTTTTTTTTTTTTTGTTTAATTTGTCCATAATGTGAAACCTTTGTCTTTTGTATATGTTCCTGCTAAATTTTTAATCCTATATTACTACACTATATACGATTTCATTGTAATTGCCACATTAAAAAAAAATAATTTTGTTTCAAAAGTATTTCCAAACTGCCACAAACCTTTCAATTTTATAAAATTATTATATTATGATGAAATTTACTTAATCTTTTGGGTTTCTATGTATCGGGTAAATATCACATTGAAAAATTTTAACAATAAGTTTTTCTCTATTAAAAAATAAAATTTATACAAAATAGTTTGCTTCTTTTTTTTTCTCTTTTACATTACTAAAATTGATACAAGTAATCTTCTTGACTCAAGAGCTTTCTCTCAAAACTATCGTGTTTATACGAAAGATAAAAGAAACTTTCATTTTATTCACTCTATTGTCATATTTAAAATCTAAATCTCTATTGTTTCAACATCTGTTATTTTTAGTTTCTACTCCCACTATACTGGGATTAGTAACAAATCTGTGTGGCCAAATCACTTAAATTTTTGCTGCTAGTTGTCACCATCATTCCAATTTTGGTGGTGGAGGATACAACTGGATATTAAATATCATATAAAATCTTAACATCTCATTCATGTCTTCTATCTCATTTCTCTCAAAGTGGGTACAATTATTTCTACTTTGGCATAAAAACTTTATTTTTCTTATTATTGTAAAATATTTTATGATAAAGAATAAAACGTTTATAAATTTGTTTTGCCATTTTATTTTGGCGACATCAGATTTTTTTTAGAAATTTCCGAAATAATTTCTGATGAAGCTAAAATAGTGAAACATGTCAAATTTGTAAAAGTTTTTTACTTGTTCCAGATTTAATCATTTTTTCGGATTTAATCCATATTTTTCAAATGTTTTATGTAGTTAAATGGCTCAAGTCAAGTAATGCACACTTTTCAAATAAAAATACTTTTCTGTAGGCATAAAATTATAATGAGAAACTGTTGCTACTTAATTTGTTCCCCCAGTTGCTTTGTTTTGTGTTTTTTGTTTGTTTTTTTTTTCTCCATTTAAAAAAAAAAATTAAAAAAATCGTGGCATTGATCAAAAAAAAAAAAAAACTCTTGCAGAAAGACAAGAAAAAAACAATTTTTGTAGTCCATTTTGATTATTGTTCCAGAATTACAGCGTGTTGTTGATGTATTCACTTTATCCACTGTCCACATCGTTGCTTTTTCATTAATCTTCTTTGTATTTTGGATTTAGAAGTGTTTGCCCCTTTTTTTCTTTTTTTTATAATATATACATATATATTTTTATTTATTATTTATTTTTATTTTTTTTATTGTGCTGCTGCTGCTGCTACTGTTGTTGTTGTTGTTGTTGTTATGAAACTGAATTGTACAGTGATGGATAATTTTCCTGTGTAATCTGCAGGTTAAACCAGAGCTGTGGGCAGGTGAAAACCCAACCTGACACTTTACACAGGTTGGCAAGAACCTTTTATGATCATTGTTTGTATTCCTCTTCCTGACTTGTGTATATTTACAGATACATACATACACACATGCACACATAATATTCTGTTATGCTATCTTAGGCAGCACAAGATGGCTAAGAGCAAGTGAATGGTTTGTTGCAGTTAACTTTTAGTTTGGCATCTCAATTGTCTTATTTATTTGCTAAAATCCCAATAACAGAATTATTGCTGCTCGTTTTTTTTTTTTTTTCTTTTTTTAAATTTTTGTTAACTAACATATTGTGTTACTGTATTAAACTATTTAAAAAAAGAAAAAAAAAAGACAACCTTTATTGAAAATCTCAAAATTTCATTACTGCCCTCATGGAAGGTCATAAGATTAATTTTCAATTTTATTTTTCAATTTTATTTTTCAATTTTATTTTTCTGTTTATTTTTTATATTTATGGAAAATTCTTGCAACCTGTCGTAATTTTAAAAATTTCTTTACGGGCCGGCTGAAAGCATACTTTTCTTTTGTAAAATAGATGTTTAGTTGTGTGTGTGTGTGTGTATATATATATATATATATATATATATATATTATTTATTTGAAATGAGAACAAAAATTGGCAATCTTGGATCTTCATGCCTGCATAAAAATGGAGTGTCAAAAGAACAGTTTTCTCTTTACATATTATTTTAAATACCTTCAGTCCTCAGCAATGTTTATTTTAAAAAAATGATGATAAAACTTAAATATGAAAAATGAATTTATAAATTTTCTTTGTACTTGAAAATTGACAACAAAAATATTATTCATTAGATTGTTTATTTAAACTATTTGTTAGATTGTTTATTGTAATGGTTGGCAAAACATTGGCTCGTTGCAAATTGATTCAAACTTTATAGAATGGTAAATAAGGATTTCCTTATAATAATTTAGTAAATGTTTATAAATTTATGAATAAAAAATTATTTTCATATTTATTTCTTTATAAATTGGTAAATTATAAAAATTGTGTTGCATTAGTTTTAATTATATTAGTTTTTGGAATGTTGTAAATATAAAATTATTCTGACAAGTAAATAATCTAATTAATAGTGTTTTAATATTTTTGTTGCAAATTCTCAAGAAAAAAAAATGTATAAATTCACTTTCATCATATGTTTAAGTTTTATTACAATTCTAATCATTGCTTTTTAAAATAAACACTGCTGAGGAGTGAAGGTAGTTTAAAAAAAAAAAAATATTGATGTCAACGAAACACATTTTTGACACTCTTTTTTTTGGGCACGAAGATCCAAGTTTGCTTAGTTTTATAGTCTATAGGCAATGTCAAAGCAGAACTGGTGTGGATAGCTTTGAAAAATTAAATTTCTATACATTTCAATGATTACAACTTTCTATGTTATCTCTCTCTCTCTCAAATAATATGGACAAATACTGAAACATTCTGAAGCTGAGCTCTTGTTTCTATAGTTGTCCTGTTTTAAGAAATTATAAAAGGTAACATAAGAAACAAATTGTCATCATTGAGAACAGTTACAATTGTGGACTCTGCTTAATCCATTGTGGCTGGAAATTGCTCAAAGGATTAAATAATTCAATTTCTTGGAGAGAAAAAAAGCTTAATTTTGAAAAAAGGTCATTTATTTTACATTTCTTAAATTATCTAAAAAGTTTAAATAGGATTTATTGAACCTTACCAACTTATTTTTAAATATTGTATTGGAATCAATCTATCTATAAGTTGCTCTATTTATTATTATTATTATTATTATTATTGAATGCTATTTATGGTGTTGTGCTAATATTTAAATTATGAACGTCTTTAAAAATCCAACTTTTTGCAGTAAATGGCTTCTGACTTGTTTCAATGTTTTAGGTTTAGGTTTGGACATTGGAAAGGCTTTCTTTCTCCCCCGTCAAATGTTAACATGAAATTCTTTCCTTGCTGTATGCTGCATTGGGCAGCCTAACTTAGCATTACCAATTGCAGCTGCTACTAATGTGGTGGTTGTTGTTGTTGATGATAATTTGGATGTCTCTTTCATTTTTCTTGATTATGATTGTAATGGTTTTTTAATAGTAAATGTCTATAATGACAAAAACTTCACTGCCTTAAGCTATTTTCCTTACTCTCTCTCTCCCCCTGTCTTTCTTTCTTTCTCTCTCTCAGTTATTGCCATCAATTGAGGACAGTTTATAGTAAAAAATACTGTTCTGTTATTTTAATTTTTAATTTCAATTTCTTTAACATTGTTACGTTGCTTGTGTGGTAACTTGAAAATTTTAAAATTGCTTTTTGCATAAAAAACAAAATGACATTTAAATCTTTAAGTTTAGTAACTGATTTGTAGTATGATTATTGTTTCAGTATGTTATGTGAATTCATGTACAGAAGGGGAGAAAAAGTTGAAGGTTCATGTTTAATGCTCAGAATTGCATAATTCTGTTACAAAGAAAACGTTTTTTTAATGTCTCCTATATTAGATTGTTAAATAAATAGACTTTCTACAGTTGAATTTAATCTGCCACTACTAAGATTTGGTTTCTTTCTCTTTGAATAAACATTCAAAAGATTATGGTTCATATTTCATGGCGAGTTAGTAAGAATATTCAGTGTAATTTAATTTAGTTATTCTTATTACCCAAGGATGATTCTAAGTTTCTTTCTGATGTTCTCATGTTGTTATTTTATTTAAACATTTAAAATGGACAAAACATTAAAGCAGCTGCTCATTATTTTATTACACATGACCATTCAGGATCCTCTCTTTATTTAGTATTTATTTTTGTCTCGGGGGTGGGTGGGTACCAACAAAAAAGCTCACGCTTTAATGTGAAGGAATTTATGAAAAGGGGGAAATATTTTCTATGGTTAAGGATTGTTTATAATTTCAAATTATATTTTTCTTCAACTGGATTTTATCTAAAATCTTTTATTGTAACTATCTACCAGGATATTTTGCACAGATTTTATGACACCTTTTCTAATGCTTCAAATACCTTGTTCATAAATAAAATCTAAAAATGTTCTATTGTGTTCGGAATAAAAACTGATGATAAATTACTCCCCTCTCACCAGTAAATATATTAAATAAAAAAATTTAGAATATATTAAAGAGTGAATTCAGTAAACGTCAACTTTTTCTTAAACAGGTGGGACTAAATCAGTAAAAGAAAGAAAAGAAAAAAAAAAGTAATAACCTATCCTAATTTTCCTAAGAGTTAAATTTCAAGATTTTCATTGTAAGCATTTTTCTGTCCTACAAATAAAATATTCAGTGAAGTTTTGTTTTTGTTATAAGAGTTCCTTGTGTGTGTGCGTGTATATATATATATATATATATATATATATATATATATATACCCACATATACTTTATTTATTAAGTACAATTTATTTTTATAAAAATGGATATGAGAAGAAAGAGTTTAGCATGGGGTTTTATTTAAAATTTGATATGGCCAACAGATTTTTCTACGAACTTCTTGGGCTGCCCAGGAATTACATCAATTGATTTCACCAGGAACTTTTGTGGTATGGAAGACACAAATTCTTGTATTTACCCTTTAAGTTCTTCCAAAGTCTTGGTTTGGTATAGTAGACTTGCTCCTTTAACCAACACCAAAAAAAAAAAGTCACAAGGTGTTAAGTGAGGAGTCCTGGCTGGCCACTCATACATAAAATAAGGAGTTAGTTTTCAATCATCATGTGTGCGTATATATATTTAGTCGGATTGATGGGAGTTTGTTTCATGAAGCAACTCACATCAATCCAACTAAATATGTTAGCTCTATCACTGATATTGAGTGCTTTCCAATAAGTACTGCACATATATAATACATAAATAATATACTTAATAAATTGCACACACACACACATATATATATATATATATATATATATATATATATATATATATATATAAATAGTCTTAAGATGTGCTATATTTATGGGATAAAGTGCTCAATATCAGAGATAGGCGTGTGTAAATATAAAGTGAACATAGAAGTCAACACTTAGAGGTGATAGTCTGTTTGGTGCTAGATGCAATCGTCAGGCCGAGAAAAATAACAGCACTCGTGGCCTGACGATTGCATCTAGCATCAAACAGACTGCCTAAGTGTTGACTTCTATGTTCACTTATATATATATATATATATATATATGCTAAATAAAGTATCTTATGGATAAGATGGTGAGGAGAGGCATATTTCTTTTATAATGTTACTTTCTACTTGGCTTGGATGCTTATTTGATGGTTGGCAAGATGCTACCAATTCTATGAAAAGTATCACTGACCAAAAAAAAAAAAAACAGGCAACTTTAATTATTTTGTTTGCTTTAAGAATCATAATTCGATTTCTTCTGAATTTACAAAATGATATGCTTATTTTTTAAATTTACTTGTAGCATGGCAACTTGTAACAATTCAAACTTGTCTCTAGAATTTTAAAAAAAATGCCTTTTTGGTCTAGATTGCTGAAATATATTGTATTTTACAAAGTAAAACAAAAACAGAATTTGAAAATCTTATCACATTTGAAGTTTTTTGTTTTTTTTAATTTAGTTCTTATAAAAAAAATCACTTATAGATTCACATTATGAAATATTTCCCAGTTGATGAAATTAAAATTGTACAAGATAACATAAACCAAGTAAATTGTTTAAATTTTTAATTAACCTAATTTCTAACAAAGTTTGTTTGTTTTTTTTTGTTTTTTTTTTTTTTTTTTTTTCTTTTTTCATACTAAATTTAATAATTTACTTATAATTAGAAAAAAATAAATTATTAAGATTTATAGTTGATCTTGTATTTATTATTATTATTTTTCTTTTGCCTTATCTGAATGCCTAAAATGACTATGGACTCTAACCACTTCAAAATGACAGACCTACATTAAAGAAAACTTTCTTTCTTTTTCCCTGGATTATATGAAACTTTCAATAATTTCATTGATGTTTTTAGTACCACCAGCTCAAACCAAAGACAAAAAGCTAACATGAAAAAATGGATTT